CCTAGCTCCCTTGTGGGCCCCTAGCTCCCTTATGGGCCCCTAGTTCCCTTGTGGGCCCCTAGCTCCCTTGTGGGCCCCTAGTTCCCTTGTGGGCCCCTAGTTCCCTTGTGGGCCCCTAGCTCCCTTGTGGGCCCCTAGCTCCCTTGTGGGCCCCTAGCTCCCTTGTGCGCCCCTAGCTCCCTTGTGGGCCCCTAGCTCCCTTGTGGGCCCCTAGCTCCCTTGTGGGCCCCTAGCTCCCTTATGGGCCCCTAGTTCCTTGTGGGCCCTAGCTCTCTTGTGGGCCCCTAGTTCCCTTGTGGGCCCCTAGCTCCCTTGTGGGGCCCTAGCTCCCTTGTGGGCCCCTAGCTCCCTTGTGGGCCCCTAGCTCCCTTGTGGCCCCTAGCTCCCTTGTGGGCCCCTAGCTCCCTTGTGGGCCCCTAGCTCCCTTGTGGGCCCCTAGCTCCCTTATGGACCCGTAGTCCCCTACTTGCCTTGTATAGTGCGGTTAATAGGTGCCAAAAAAATGTCGTGTTATGCAAAATCTCGCTGTTAAACATTGTATAAACCTGAGTTTACGAGAGAGGTTCCGAGGGTCAAGACCGCGGCCCGAGTCTGTGCCACAGCCTTGTGTGATAACTGATCAACGGACCGCTCTGGGCACGCAAACAACGTACGACCACAGTCGGCTGACATAGGAACTGACTTTTTATAGGTGCAATGTCATGCCAGCAATTACTGCAGGGTACTTTAAATACCCTAATGAGTGCTGGAGACGTTGAACAGTCATCGGGCCCTTACACTTATTGTATGGTCTTAATGTATGTGAACCCTGCTTTTCATGGGGATGGTTGCATCGTCTGCCAAGTCTTATGCTTTCGTAGTTGAATGTTTGTGTGCAAGTTCGGTACTAGTCCTCTAGGATTTTCCAGGTGTATATAATCATGTATCTCTCCCTCCTGCGTTCCAGGGAATACAGGTTTAGGAACCTTAAGCGCTCCCAGTAATTGAGGTGTTTTATCTCCGTTATGCGCGCCGTGAAAGTGTGTTAAGTAAGTTCAGGAAAGTATCTTCCAAATTATTATTATAATGAAAACTAAGCGGTAAAACCGCCAGGGTCATACAGCTTGTTGCAAAACAAAACCTGTTTTGTCGACATTAAAAATTTGTTGATCCTTGTATGTTTATTTAGTTGCAGGTGGTACATATAAGTACAATTATCTCAGTGTAAATTACTAAGCAAAACCCAAAAAAAAGTCAGACACTCTGACTTTTTAAAAAGGGGTCCTTTTCAATCGTTTTTTTAAACCAAAAAATTAATTTGCACAGCATCTTTAACACTGCTTTTTTTCACCTTCAATTTCAACGTATAGCGCCCCATATCTTTTTTAAAAAAGTTATAAAACCAGCCACAATTTCCCAGAAAATTTTAAGAGTTCCCTCTTTTTCCATTTTCTTAACAAAATACTTAACTATACGTAAACAGCCTATAAAAACTAAATAGACAAAAAAAAAACGGCTTGGTTGCCCAGGCTAACCACAGTATTCTAAACCATTGAAAAGAAAACACCAATATGAAAAGCAAATAGCAGGGTTAATAACAAAAGATATTTAAAACAATATTAAACAGTTCTCACCAAATTAAAAGAAACCCAAAACAAAATACTACCCACGATCATGCAAAAGAGGAGATTAAAAAAGCCCTGGAAAACACTCCTCAGTTCTATGGCCCCACAAACTAAAAAAACAAGAATTTTGTTTAACAAAACCTCATGAAACAACTGCACCCACTGATACAGTAAAAAAAAAACGACTTTTCCAAAATAGGATCTAATCTCGCCGAAAAATTCCCCGTCCCAATCCCCGTGCCGGGGCTCCCTAAGGGGAATTTTCCCCCCAAATTTTCTATCTTGTACCCACGGGCCCACGGAAGTCCCCGGATATAAAGCACTTAAAAAAAACCGGGAATCTGTCTCACGTCCCCCATTTTGTACAAGCGAGGGGCCCATGCCCTTTCACATGCATTACATTCTTTTTAACAACCCACTAGAAACTAGTATTTTCCCGACATACTCAAAACAGCAAGGGTTACACAAACATAAATTGGGTGCCCCTACAGACGTAAACAATATAGGCCAATATCAAACTTACCATTGCTACCCAAAAATCTTGAAAAAAAGTGCACAGGGAGATTTATATTCATTTTAAGTCCCAAAAATACTAAACCCCCCTCCCAATTTGGTTTAGGAAAAAAAAAAAGCATAATGAGCAATTATAAAAATGCTAGACCTGCTTTACACAGTTTTTAAAATAAGGAATATCCGCTAAAATTTTTTATTGCCTAAAAAAAGCTTTGAACAGTAGCCCAGGCATCCACCCCCAAAATTGACCACTTGGTAAAAGAGGCCATGCGCTTGCATATTTTAAATGCCCTTTTAAATAGGTTCAGTATGCCCATTAAAGAAACACCCTCATCAATACGGCCACTTGATACGGGAGTTCCGAAAGGGAAAGTGCCCCTTGGGCCCCCCTGCTCTTCCTTTTCATAAATGATTTTCCAAACATACCCCCAACACCTGAAACCCCATTCTTTTTGTCGACGACAGATTATTCTCTCCCCCCCTAATCTTGCCACCCTCAAACACCTTGTTAATGAGGACGCCAAAATATCGACCGATGCCCCAGTAAACTTACATTAACACGGGGCAAAACCACTATTTATTTTTGGAGCAGAGCAGGTGTTGCGCAACTTAACATTAAGACGACAACACCTAATTGCCAACATAAAGAGGGGAAATTCCCTTGGGCCCATACCTCGACACAATTTTAAAATTTTGACCCATATCCCAAAACCCTAACAAAAAAAATATCCAAAAAGGTGGGGATCCTCTCCAAGAAGTGCCGCAAATGCCCTTTTCCCCACTATCCACACTTTTAATCCATACCTCACCTATGCTATCGTACTTGGGGTTCAACGCCAACACACCTAAACCAATAATAACCCAAAAAAAACCCCAGTAAGAATAAACCCTAAATCCCCTCCCTGGGAACCCCCCCCCCCCCCTTTATAGATTAAATTGTCCCCGTTCGTACATCCACCCTTATACGTGGGAATCTATATCTACGGACCCTTAAAATTTCCCAAAATTTCCTTGCCTAAAACGCTTTCTTTATAGTTGTGACAGGACCCAAGGGATAACACCAGCCAAACATTTATGACATTCCCCCTGTTCGACTAAAAATTTTCAAAAATTTAAAAGTATTTCAAAGGGCCCAAATCTGAACACCCCCACCGGAAAATCTAGAATGCAGACAATTCTCCTTTCAAAAAATAAGTAGAAAAAATCTTTTCTCCCTGATACACCCGACAACTAACTACTGATAACCACCTGGTGGGTTTACAATTTCATCACCCCCCACTGACTAAAACCCGAAATATAATTTAATCTTTAAAAAAAAAATCCTAATAGTCATAAGTTTGCCCATGAACCCAATATAACACTTTTTTTTTTGGCCAAAACAAAAGCATTCCATTGCAAACTCCAAATTATGATGTACACTTAGCCTTAATACCATAAACTGTAAGGGGTTTAAATTTTGAATAATCAAGTCTGCCAAATGCCCACCTGTTAGGGGTCCCAGTGGCCCCCCCTGTAATTAGTATTTTTTAAACTGTAAACCAACAAAATCCCAAAACCTGTAAACCCCACAATGTAACCCTTATAGAGAATAAACTTGAATTGAATTGAATTAAATTTTCTTTCACCAATTTACAGTTATGTAATACGTATCTATTTCTACAAGTACATGTACAAGGTATCCAGACCTAGCTGACATCAATAAATAACCAAAAAAGGCACAATACCGTGACATCAATGATATATATAAAGCCCCCTTGTTATAATTATAAAAATATATAATCATGGAGGAGCGCTAAACCCGTAGGATTATACCGCGCATCTGGGGAGGGGGATTATTATAATCAAAAGAAGCGCTAAGCCACAAGGGCTATACAGCGCTGCGGGGGAGGGGGAATGGAAGGTATTCAGGGAACCGGAGCATAGATCCAATTCCCTAGATCAAGAGCCGCTCTCCAACATCAAGGAACCTCCCTTGAGGGGCACAGAAACAAAGCGTCTGGTTGAATCCTCTCTTATACACAACTTTCCTTGTATGAATCTTATTCCTGGCTTCGTCTCAGTAGATGTCTTCCTTTCCCACTACATTATAAAATGCTCCAAACTTCAGAACACCCGTGACTTAACCTGATTCCATTTTCTTCTTCTCCCTCTTCTCCTTTTCTCTTTCCTCTTTCTCCTTTGGGTTGTCTTTCTTCTGCCTTGGGTATTTGTTCCTTCATTATTTTTGCCCCCTCTGTGGGCCCCTAGCTCCCTTGTGGGCCCCTAGCTCCCTTGTGGGCCCCAGCTCCCTTGTGGGCCCCTAGCTCCCTTGTGGGCCCCTAGCTCCCTTGTGGGCCCCTAGCTCCCTTATGGGCCCCTAGCTCCCTTGTGGGCCCCTAGCTCCCTTGTGGGCCCCTAGCTCCCTTGTGGCCCCTAGCTCCTTGTGGGCCCTAGCTCCCTTGTGGGCCCTAGCTCCTTGTGGGCCCTAGCTCCCTTGTGGGCCCTAGCTCCCTTGTGGCCCTAGCTCCCTTGTGGGCCCCTAGCTCCCTTGTGGGCCCCTAGCTCCCTTGTGGGCCCCTAGCTCCCTTGTGGGCCCCTACTGAAATAAGTATCCAAGGACTCCAATGGAAATAGGTCACTTCATTTTTTTTTTTTTTTGGAGGGGGGAGGGTTATCCTAGGTAATTTACACATAAAGTATGAATGATAGTTATACTTATGTGTAGCTGTAACTAAATAAATTTGCTTATAGCAAAACTCACGATGTTCAGAACAGCGTTACACAAGATATTTACTGAATTTTTGAGGAAAATCTGTTACATATAAAGTTAAAATTATCTAAAAATCACGAGACATGTCTTAAAAAAGTCACATAAATGAAAATTTGTTGAAATAAAAATTCAAATATTAATAATTATTTTTATTTGAGATTTATATTGTGCAAGAATAACAGAAACTGACACAAATTAAAGTGTCTTGTGGATCACACTGCCGAGTAGCCACCATCAACAGCAAGAAGATGACCATTAACCATGTCACTTTCCTCAGAGAGTAAGTACACTGCGGCGTTCACCACATCACTCACTTCAGCAAACCTTCCTTGGGGTATGCGAGCCAACATGGGCGCAGCTTTGGCTGGATCAGACCATGCTTTGCGCCCCATGGTCGTCATCACCACAGTAGGACACACTGCATTCACACGGATCCCTTTCGGTCCTAGCTCCAGAGCCATGACCTTGGTCAGCATGTTCAGCGCTCCCTTAGAGGCGCAGTACACAGTGTGATCCTTAAGAGCAGACTGACCCGCCTGAGATGATAGGTTGATAATAGCGCCTTTCTGTCCTCTTGCTATAAGGTCGCCAGCCACCACTTGTGATACATTCATCACTGCCTTCACGTTCACGCTGAACAGCTCGTCGAAACTCTCTGGTGTAGCCGTTAGAAATGGTTGCAAGGAAGTACATGCTGCATTATTTACCAGAAAATGAATGGGAGTTATTTTCTGTACTACTTCCCTAGCAGCATTCCAGTCACTTAAGTTAACACAGATGATCTGGATACTTGGGTACTCTGTTTTCAAAGATTCAAGATGGGAGGCAGTTTTGCTCAGAGCGAAGACTTCTGCGCCCATCTCTAGTAGTCTGACAGCAATTTCTCTGCCAATACCATCCCCAGCTCCAGTCACTAGCGCTCGACGACCCGTAAACTTGCCCATGGTCCCCGAAGGTCCTCAGCCCTGAATGGCCCTCAAAAGTTTAGCTTTACTTTAATTGAATAACAATATTGTTAATCCAGTTGCCCTAAGTCAGTGGACCTAACAAGGCTGTTACTGTACTCTGGCTATACAAAAGTCTTGAAATTGTTTTTCCTTTCCAGAATGTTTTTATAATTCAATTTTTTTCCAGGAGTTACCTTAAGAGAGATATTGGAAGCAATATAACAGACATAAATCTTCAACACTTCCTTTTCAAATGCTGTATAATACTTGTGTTTAGAATTTAATTTCTTCCCCGGGGTGATTTATCTTGCCTGATGTTATCTTTACTTTCTTCATCCAAAGTCAGACGACTGTAAAAAGAAACAATATTTGTATAATGACAACATTTACAGGTGACTGGTCTGTCGCCCTCTCTAACCTTCGCATTTTTTTTCATAATCTCCCAGTGGTGTAAACAACACAATCATTTGTAAGAAATGCCTCTGTGTGTAACATATACAAAGAGGCACTCCTCTCACATTATCTTTGAAATCTCCACCTTTCCTCAACGGAATAGAGTGCTAAGCCAACGGAAGGCCTCGGTCATGTAGCCAAAAGTTCCTGTTAGCTAGCGTCAGGAAACAATTGTCGCGGTTCCTGTTGAATAAAATACCACACTTTCAATTTCTTTATATATATATGCAAAACAACCACTGTGAAAGAGTAGTGAAATTTCAAGCGCTTTCGTGACTACTCACATTATCAAGGAACAATAAAAGTAATGCATCAAGGAAGGCATATAAAGAGTTCTAGCCCACACCTCACTATCACATCCCACTATCACATCAAGATTTTTAAATACAACTTTGATATTAAAAGTCTTAAGAAGAGAAGGCATGTCAAAGTTGTATTTAAAAATCTTGATACAGTAAAAAAAACTTTTGATAAAGAATTCCTCCCAAAATGCTGACGGATGTGTCTATAAAATTCCTTGTAAAATTTGCGATAAAGTTTATTACGGTCAAACTGGTAAAAGTCTCGAACTAAGATTAAAACAACATAAATATAGCATTAGAACTGGACAAGATTCCAATGCTCTATTTATTCATGTGAGAGATTTTAACCATCCAATTGATTTTCAAAAAGTTGAGAAAGTTGTATCAAGCAAGTCCATGGTTGATAGAAATATAATTGAATCTTGTTTCATAAAAAGCAGTTTTGACAATAATATGAATATTTCCTTTGGTTTATATAAATTAGATCCATTTATAATTAATAGAATTTGGGAAGAATTTAATAATACATTATACAAATAATAAATTTTAAAATTCTTAATTCTTGGGTAGAATAGTTTGTTTGTGGGATGTGTGAAGGACCTGTCTAGTTGGGCCAGCGGGCCTGCTGCAGTGTTCCCTTTCTTATGAGTCGCACGTCAGGTGTTGCTTTGTTGTGGGATGTGATAGTGAGGTGTGGGCTAGAACTCTTTATATGCCTTTGATGCATTACTTTCATTGTTCCTTGATAATGTGAGTAGTCACGAAAGCGCTTGGAATTTCTCTATTCTTTCACAGTGGTTGTTTTGCATATTCTGAAATCACCTGTTTACTGTGATCTTATTGCATATATATATATATATATATATATATATATATATATATATATATATATATATATATATATATATATATATATATATATATATATATATATATATTATATATATATATATATATATATATATATATATATATATATATATATATATATATATATATATATATATATATATATATATATGTCGTGCCGAATATGTAAAACTGGTCATTTAGCAAGAACTCATTTAAAATTAAGACCTTTCTGAAATTTTCTCTTATACGTTTAAAGATATATTTTTTTCATTAATGTTAATGTAAAATTTTTTAATTTTGCACCAAAAGAATCTTAGAAAACTTACCTAACCTTATTATAACAAGAGCAATTTATTTTAGCCTAACCCAACTAAATATATTTTAAATACGTTTACAATAATTTAGTACTAAACAAACACAATCAAATATATTTTTTTCATTAGGTTCAGAATGATTTTGGCGAAATTACTGCATACACAAATTTTCATTTGTCCTAAATGGCAAGATGAGCGTTGCTATTTAAGCCAAGATCGCAAGTTCTGCCTATTCGGCACGACATATATATATATATATATATATATATATAATATATATAATTATATATATATATATATATATATATATATATATATATATATATATTATATGAACATTAGTCACTGGAAACCGACACACTCACCTAGAAATACAATGAAACTAGAAATACAGATATGGCTATATATTTCGGACTATCTGGTGAACAGAACCTCGTCAGAAACCGAAATATATACCTATTTTTCATTTCTAATTTTATTTGTCTCTGTGCCCATAACAATCTTTCAACACATCTTTCGAAATACTGCAACTACCTGACGTGTGGAAGAGAGCGATTTTAGTATCAATCTTTAAGAAAGGAGACAGGCAGGCAGCATTAAACTATAGAGAAGCTTAAGATGGTAGAGCACCTAGAAAGGAATAAATGACCTTGTGCACGGTATTCAGCATGGTTTCAGAGAGGGGAAATTCTGTGTCACAAACCTACTGGAGTTTTACGACAAGATGATAGAAGGCAGGAGTGACTGCATTTTCTTGGATTGAAAGAAGATTTTCGACACAGTTCCGCACTAGAGATTTGTGCAAAAGCTATAGGAGCAAGCAGGAATAACAGGAAAGGCAATACAGTGGATCAGAGAATACCTGTCAGGAAGAAAACAACGAGGGATGGTATGTGACGAGGTGTCAGAGTAGGTGCCTGTGACGAGTGGGGTTCCACAAGGGTCAGTCCTTGGGCCAGTGCTGTTTCTGGTATTTGTGAATATGACGGAAGGAATAGATTCAGAGGTGTCCCTGTTTGCAGACGATGTGAAGCAAATGCGGAGAATTCAAGTGGATGAGGATCAGGCAGAACTACAAAGGCATGAATTATGTGAGTAAATTACCTGCAGGTTTACAGGTTATTACCTGAATTATTTCTTGTGAGCAATTTGGATGAGATAAGTGGGACTTAAGTCACAGCAGGTCGCCGAACTGTAGCTCCCTCAATGCCCACTTCTTCAATCACATAAAGTTAGACCTGACATTAAATTAATTACAATATTAAAACCAGCTATTCTGGTAAATTAAAATTGTGGGCTGTATATGATTAGGCTTGCTGGGTACATAAAAGAAATTCGTATTACCGCTTACCATTTAATACTGTAGATGGATCACACCACAACACCGGCCAGACACCTAGACCCTACACTGGCCAGCTAGAGATCTAAATGCAAGGACTGATGGTACACTTCCCTGTGAGTGATGGTTGTATCCCCTATCTTCCGCCATCCACACATAATTCTTGAGGTCCCACAAATTTCCTTTCCCAATTCTCCAGCAGGGGATGTTAACATGGGTTATTACAAATTCAGGCCGAAACCCCACAATTTTGCTTGAAAGATGCCGAATTATTAGCTGAATTTTCTGCTACAACCAGTGCTCACAAATTACAACTGGTGTCCTCCCGGCGTCACTCCCCCGGCTATTCTACATTCCCTCTCACTCGAAATTTCTCGAAGGGTCCAAATAGCATCAGATTTATATACGTAATTTTTATATTTTTTTTTCAGGTTTAAACATGCTGAATTTAGGAAAATTAAAAATTTTCCACAAAAGGGATCTGGACAAGTTGCAGGCTTGGTCCAACAACTGGCTTCTGGAGTTTAACCCCACCAAGTGCAAAGTCATGAAGATTGGGAAAGGTCAGAGACAGCAGAATACAGACTAGGGGGCAAAAGACTGCAAGCCTCACTCAAGAAAAAGGATCTTGGAGTGAGTATAATACCGAGCAAATCTCCTGAGGCGCACATCAACCACATAACTACAGCAGCATATGGGTGCCTGGCAAACCTAAGAATAACATTTCGACACCTTAGTATGAAATCGTTCAAGATCATTGTACACCGTGATCGTCAGGCCCATACTGGAGTATGCAGCACCAGTATGGTGCTGCATACTCCAATATGCAAAGGTCTGCAGCTAGACTAGTCCCTGAACTAAGGGGTATGTCCTACGAGGAGAGGTTAAAGGAAACCGACATGACGACACTGGAGGACAGGAGAGATAGGGGAGATATGATAACGACATGCAAAATACTGAGAGGAATTGACAAGGTTGATAGAGACAGAATGTTTCAGAGATGGGATACAGCAACACGGGGTCACAACTGAAAGTTGAGGTCTTAGATAAGTCACAGGGATGTTAGGAAGTTTTGCTTCAACCACAGAGATGCCAAGAAGTGGAATAATCTGGAGAGTGATGTAGTGGAGGCAGGATCCATACATAGCTTTAAGAAGAGGTATGATAAAGCTCATGGAGCAGAGAGTGGACCTAGTGGAGACCAGCTAAGAGGCGGGGGCCAGAAGTTGACTCGACCCCTGCAACCACAAATAGGTGAATACAAATAGGTAAGTAAGTACACACACATTATATATTTAAATATAAAGGAGTATTATCACTTTCATGGGATAGCGCCAAACCCGTAGGAGTGATGCAGCGCTTGGGGAATGGGAGACAATCAAATCGATACAAGTGAGGGCAGTTCACTTTCCTTGGATCAAGAATTCTTCACCAACATCAAGGTACCTCCTACAAAGGTGTATGTATAATACAAGCACAAATCATGAGAATAAATACAGCTGCCAGGCGAGTGTTGAAGGTCTGGCAGTACTGAACAAGAACAGCTGTTCCCTCAACACCTTCACATAACAAACATTACACTTAGGAGTTAATATAGGTGCTAGTATAAATTAAAACATCCTATATACATATGATGACTTACCTACAATATCAATAGTGTATACAGATAGTAACAGCGTGAGTCTGCCACCCAACACACTGCCTCACACACCAGGCAGACCTCACTGCCTGCCTCACACACCTCCTAGTATTAACTGCACCTTATTTTAGCGTTAAAACAATTGACAGCTCATAAGTTTCCTCATATATGCCATAATATATAAGATGAACAGACGTACTAGGCGAAATCTCAACCCTGTTCCTATAATTTACAGCGCAGGAATACAGAAATGATCATAGTTTAGTTGTTAGGGTAAGAGGTGCCAGATAGAAGTGTCCTTGACAAGGACTAGACTGCAGCACCAACCATCGTCTGGATAACTCCACTTCTCTCCACATACTCCTAAAAAGTACGTTAATGGTGTTTTCTAATGGTACCTTAAAGCACTGCTATGTGAGTTTAAGATATATAAAGTATTAGTCGATCGGAAATCCAGAATGGTGAGAGAGACGTTGTAGACGTAATTATGGTAAAGAGAATTGTGATAACGTGAGATAACATAACTTATCTACTGCATCTGGCCAAGTAACATAACTCATGGAAATTGATGTACATTATGTACAGCCTACTACTTTAATTAATGTACACGGGTATTGCAGGCGCTTCATAATTGGTAGTGTTCACAAGTGTAAGCATTTTTTGTTTAGTATAATGATGATGTCATTATTTCCACTATACGAAACATTGATCCAAAAAAAGTAATTCAAAAGTGATTCAATCTCTGCTGGAACATCTCCGGGTGAACAAGAGCTGGAAATATAAGGCAACTCGCCCATATATCACCACCGCTCAGAGTATCAAACCTTTATCTTTCTGTTGCTAAGTGAGCGATCTATCACCAAGTTGCTGATCACAATTACCTGGAGTTTACCTGGAGAGAGTTCCGGGGGTCAACGCCCCCACGGCCCGGTCTGTGACCAGGCCTCCTGGTGGATCAGAGCCTGATCAACCAGGCTGTTACTGCTGGCTGCACGCAAATCAACGTACGAGCCACAGCCAGGCTGGTCAGGAACCGACTTTAGATGCTTGTCCAGTGCCAGCTTGAAGACTGCCAGGGTTCTATTGGTAATCCCCCTTATGTATGCTGGGAGGCAGTTGAACAGTCTCGGGCCCCTGACACTTATTGTATGGTCTCTTAACGTGCTAGTGACACCCCTGCTTTTCATTGGGGGGATGGTGCATCGTCTGCCAAGTCTTTTGCTTTCGTAGTGAGTGATTTTCGTGTGCAAGTTCGGTACTAGTCCCTCTAGGATTTTCCAGGTGTATATAATCATGTATCTCTCCCTCCTGCGTTCCAGGGAATACAGGTTTAGGAACCTCAAGCGCTCCCAGTAATTGAGGTGTTTTATCTCCGTTATGCGCGCCGTGAAGGTTCTCTGTACATTTTCTAGGTCAGCAATTTCACCTGCCTTGAAAGGTGCTGTTAGTGTGCAGCAATATTCTAGCCTAGATAGAACAAGAGACCTAAAGAGTGTCATCATGGGCTTGGCATCCCTAGTTTTGAAGGTTCTCATTATCCATCCTGTCATTTTTCTAGCAGATGCGATTGATACAATGTTATGGTCCTTGAAGGTGAGATCCTCCGACATGATCACTCCCAGGTCTTTGACGTTGGTGTTTCGCTCTATTTTGTGGCCAGAATTTGTTCTGTACTCTGATGAAGATTTAATTTCCTCGTGTTTACCATATCTGAGTAATTGAAATTTTTCATCGTTGAACTTCATATTGTTTTACTGCAGCCCACTGAAAGATTTGGTTGATGTCCGCCTGGAGCCTTGCAGTGTCTGCAATGGAAGACACTGTCATGCAGATTCGGGTGTCATCTACAAAGGAAGACAGGTGCTGTGGCTGACATCCTTGTCTATGTCAGATATGAGGATGAGGAACAAGATGGGAGTGAGTACTGTGCCTTGTGGAACAGAGCTTTTCACCGTAGCTGCCTCGGACTTTACTCTGTTGACTACTATTCTTTGTGTTCTGTTAGTGAGGAAATTATAGATCCATCGACCGACTTTTCCTGTTATTCCTTTAGCACGCATTTTGTGCGCTATTACGCCATGGTCACACTTGTCGAAGGCTTTTGCAAAGTCTGTATATATTACATCTGCATTCTTTTTGTCTTCTAGTGCATCTAGGACCTTGTCGTAGTGATCCAATAGTTGAGACAGACAGGAGCGACCTGTTCTAAACCCATGTTGCCCTGGGTTGTGTAACTGATGGGTTTCTAGATGGGTGGTGATTTTGCTTCTTAGGACCCTTTCGAAGATTTTTATGATATGGGATGTTAGTGCTATTGGTCTGTAGTTCTTTGCTGTTGCTTTACTGCCCCCTTTGTGGAGTGGGGCTATGTCTGTTGTTTTTAATAACTGTGGGACGACCCCCGTGTCCATGCTCCCTCTCCATAGGATGGTAAAGGCTCGTGATAGGGGCTTCTTGCAGTTCTTGAACACGGAGTTCCATGAGTCTGGCCCTGGGGCAGAGTGCATGGGCATGTCATTTATCGCCTGTTCGAAGTCATTTGGCGTCAGGATAACATCAGATTCTTTCTCAAATAGAGGTACATACCTGGAGGTTACCTGGAGGTTATTCCGGGGATCAACGCCCCCGCGGCCCGGTCCATGACCAGGCCTCCCTGTGTATCAGGGCCTGATCAACCAGGCTGTTACTGCTGGCCGCACGCAGCCAACGTACGAGCCACAGCCCGGCTGATCCGGCACTGACTTTAGGTATCTGTTCAGCTCTCTCTTGAAGGCAGCCAGGGGTTTATTGGTAATTTCCCTAATGCTTGATGGGAGGCTGTTGAACAGTGTTGGGCCCCGGACACTTATGGTGTTTTCTCTTAGTGTACCAATGGCGCCCCTACTTTTAATTGGGGGCATTTTGCATCGCCTGCTCAGTCTTTTACTTTCGTAGGGAGTGATTTCTGTGTGCAGATTCGGGACCATTCCTTCCAGGATTTTCCAAGTGTAGATTATGATATATCTCTCTCTCCTGTGTTCCAACGAGTACAAGTCAAGTGCTTCCAAGCGTTCCCAGTAGTTAAGGTGCTTGACAGAACTTATACGTGCAGTAAAAGATCTCTGTACACTCTCTAGATCTGCAATTTCACCTGCTTTGAATGGAGATGTTAATGTACAGCAATATTCCAGCCTAGAGAGAACAAGTGATTTGAAAAGGATCATCATTGGCTTGGCATCTCTCGTTTTGAACGTTCTCATTATCCAGCCTATCATTTTCTTTGCACTTGTGATCGTGGCACTGTTGTGATCCTTGAAAGTGAGATACTCAGACATTACTACTCCCAGGTCCCTTACATTATTTTTCTGCTCTATTGTATGGCCAGAGTTTGTAGTACGTATACTCTGTTCTAGTTATTATCTCCTCCAGTTTTCCATAACGGAGTAGTTGGAATTTGTCATCATTGAACATCATATTGTTTTCCGTTGCCCACAGGAAAACTTTGTTTATATCTTCTCGGAGGTTAACCGCGTCCTCAGCAGATGACAGCCTCATGCAGATCCTAGTATCATCCGCAAAGGATGATACGGTGCTGTGGTGCATATATCTGTCTATGTCTGATATGAGGATGAGGAATAAGATGGGGGCGAGTACTGTGCCTTGTGGAACAGAGCTCTTCACTATGGCAGCCTCCGATTTAACTCTGTTGAAGATCCATCTCCCCACTTTCCCAGTTATTCCTTTAGCACGTATTTTGTGGGCTATTACGCCATGATTGCATCTGTCAAATGCTTTTGCAAAGTCTATGTATATTACATCTGCATTCTGATATTCTTCCAGTGCATCCAAGGCCATATCAAAATGATCCAATAGTTGTGAGAGGCAGGAGCGACCTGCCCTGAACCCATGTTGCCCTGGATTGTGCAGATTTTGGGAATCCAGGTGATTTGCAATCCTGCTTCTTAGCACTCTTTCAAAGATTTTTATGATGTGGGACGTCAGAGCTATTGGTCTATAGTTCTTAGCTAATGCTTTGCTGCCACCTTTATGGAGTGGGGCTATATCCATTGTTTTAAGTGACTGTGGAATTTCACCCATGTCCAAGCTCCTCCTCCATAGTGTACTTAGGGCACGTGAGAGGGGTTCCTTGCAGTTCTTAATGAATACAGAGTTCCACGAGTCTGGGCCCGGGGCTGAGTGCATGGGCATGTTGTCAATGGCTTTTTCGAAGTCTATCGGAGTTAGGGTGATGTCAGAAATCTGGCATACATTTATGGAGTTTTGAGGCTCATTCATGAAAAAATCATTTGGGTCGTTGATCCTCAGACTGATTAAACACAGAGTCGTACTAGGATTTCAGTATTTCACTCATTTCCTTGTTGTCATCTGTGTAAGTCCCATCCTGTCTGAGTAAGAGCCCGATACTAGATGTGGCATTTGCCTTGTTTTTGGCATATGAAAAGAAATTTTTCGAATTTCTTTCAATTTCACTAATAGCTTTAAGCTCCTCCTGTTTCTCCTGGTTCCTGTAAGAGTCATTTAACTTAAGTTCGATAGTTTCCACTTCCCTGGTCAGCGCCTCCCTTCGTGTATCAGATATTCTAGCACTCCTGAGAAGCTCAGCGACTCTTCGTCGTCTTCTGTAGAGGGAGCATCTTTCTCTCTCCACTTTACTCCTGCTCTTCTTCTTTCTTAGGGGAATATGCCTAGAACATGCTTCAGCTACCAGGAAGTTGATCCTTTCCTTGTGGGGTCTGTGCCTCCTGGTCCCTTTTAGATGGTATGCAGGGCAGTCGATGTTGTAACACTGCTTCTGGAGGACCGAGGAGTGACACATTTTTGGGTGAAAGAAAGTACGGGAAGAACAACGACACACTCCTTTAGACAGGAGGTCGCTACATTTTTTGGGATGCTCAGAGTTGCTTGTCCCATTTTTTTCCTGATATTCCATGCTTACAGATGCCCCAAGCATAATATTTGCACAAATTCACCTTTGGTTGAGAATTGTTGGGAGATGTTTTGTCAATTTCTGCAGGTTCTGGGACTGCACTATAATCCTCAGTATCCAAGCCAGGGCCACCCCGTCCTGGATTCCATCTACTTTTCTCAGTAGAGGAAGAAGGAGGAGACTCCTCTCCTACACCTGTACTGTAGGCCATGGTCTTGTGTAATGATGGTTGTATATTTACGGTTTTAGTGGTGGTTGTGGTAGGGTCCCTAGTAGAGTCTGGGCTGGCAATAAGGCTGGGGGCTGGGACTGAGTCAGTACTGGGGCTGGGGGCTGAGCCTGGGCCAGCACCAGCACTGTGGGTATTAGTGCTATGACTGGGGGATGGGTCTGGTTTAGCACTATGTGGGTGACTAGTCATCTGTTGTGGTATGGGCATTCTCCATTTTTTGATACACTATCTCTTTCTCCCATGTTTTATATATTTTTGGTAGACTATCCAAGAGGTCATCCTTGTTTTCTTGATTATTTTTATCATTTATTACTCTCCTTAGTACCTTTCTGATACCTGCCCAAAGTTCTACATCTTTATTGCACAACCAGAAGCACCTTGCTAGTTCGAAGTCATTTTTTGAGGCTGTATTTAGTCTAGTACAAGAGATATGGTGTTTGGAAAAGCATAGGTTGCATGTGATTCTGGATTTCCTTCCAAGGATTTTTTTACCTGTCGCACAGATATGCTGTGCTGACATCCTGTCTGTATCCTACTACACTCTGTATGCCATGGAAGAAAGCTGATTTCCACTTTACATTTCTCTTGCTGGTGCCAGTAATATGCAAGATGTATTTATATGAACCAAGTTTGCAGTATGTGGGTGGTGGGTGTAGGGTGGGTGGGTTATATGGGTGGCCTGAGTGGCTCCTGCAGTGATGCCAGACATATGTTATGCACTTCTGTCATGGGATATCACATTCAGTTTAAACCATTTCCATTATGTTAATCACTATCCTTGTGTTGTTCCGCTGACAATTTGGGTTCGCTAGGTCTTTCTATTATGTCTCGGTCTCTTAGTCTATTCGTTATATGTGGTAACTCAAACCTATGTGTATCACTTGTCACATATATGTACCAAAACAACCAGGCTTTCATAAGTGTTATCGCATAGCCAGTAAGACAAAATTTAATATTTCTAAGCGGAGGGTATTTTATTTGATATGACCTAAACTTAGATGGATATTTTAATTTCTGAAGATGAAGCTGCATCTGTTTACGGTGGACGCCTTCACTGACCTACCGTTCTGTGGCAACCCTGCAGCGGTGGTGCTACTCTCACAGGTAAACTTAAAATATTTATTTTTTTTATACTGGTGTGAGATTCGTCTGTACAAACCTCCATTTGCAGTCACAGTGGGGTCCGTGCTAGCCTTCCTAATGTATATAAAAATGCACCTAGCTGGACGAATCATTTTAGGCCAGCATGGTACAGTAGATAGCGCACTGGCCTTCTAGTTTTAGGACTAACTTGCCATGGGTTTGAACCCTCAGCCATTCAGCGACTTATTCCAGACCTCATAATATGGAGATGAGCTGAAGGATGTTTTCTGGAGTTGATGCCTTTGCGGTCTGGTCCCAGACCATCCCTCCTTGTAGATCAAGGTCTGATCACCCAAGCTGTTACTGCTGGGCCGCACACAATGCCAACACATGAACACACACTTGAGGAACTTATCACGCTCCCTGTTGAAGATAGTCAGGAGTGTCTTCAAGACAGACAGGTGCTGTAAAACCCTTGTAGATTTAACTGGTGTCTTGAAGACTGCTGTCTTCAAGACAGTCAGTAGTGCTACAGATCACTCTACACTCTGGCGCTGTATAACCCTGGTGGGTTAAGATAACAGATTTTGTTTGAATTTTTAACCCCGGAGGGTTAGCAACCCACGATAACCCAAAAAAGTCAGTGCGTTATCGAGGGATTGTCTGTCTTATTTCCATTGGGGTCCTCAATCTTGTCACCCAGGATGCGACCCACACCAGTTGACTAACACCCAGGTACCTACTTCCTAGGTGAACAGGACAACAGGTGTAAGGAAACGCGTCCAGTGTTTCTACCCCGCCGGGAATCGAACCCGGATCCTCAGCGTGTGAAACAAGAGCTTTTGCCAGCCAGGCCATGGGGCCCCGTGGCCTGGCGTTTAGTTTTAATTATAATAATAAACTTGTTTGGAACAAAACAATAACCAAATAACATAACTGGACGTATAATTGAATTCTTTTACAAAGACAATTTTCAGAGTAACAGGATGGAATTCACGAAATAATTTTGTCTTGAAAATTCTTATTTCCCCGAGTTTTTTTTTTTAGTTTTACCACCTTCAGGCCGGTGATCAGAATTTAATTGTATTTTTTTTCATATCAAGAAATGTATGCAAATGTTTTAATTATCCATCAGTTATGGTTTACCTACACAGTAGGCTTCTTCAGTCGAGTACATCGTCTTCAAGTATCTTCTGCTTCTATCAACTTTTCTGTACTCGACTGAAGAAGCCTACTGTGTAGGCGAAACGTTTCGAAACAAAGATACCTAACTGTTGCATATGTGTCTTACCTAACAACCTGTCGGTATTTTATACCATTTTAATGTTCAGTTATGTTTTATTTTGATTCTGATAAGTGATGATATCGATCCTTAGAATTAACCTTGAATGAGTGTATGTTTGTCATACAGAAAACTATAGATATGCTTTGGTTATGAATGGTGTGGTGATACCTCTTAAGTGGGGGGAAAAGTATTTGTGTAATGACACGATTGCAAACAAACTATACCACGGGCGGGGTTAGAACCCGCGATCTGAGGGTCTCAAAACTCGAGACCGTCGCGTTAGCGATAATCTTATTGTGGCTAGCTGGTCCAGTGGCTAACGCGACGGTCTCTGATCGTGGGTTCTAACCCCTTCCGTGGTATGGTTTGTATTTGTGTACACTTCAAAACGTTTCGCCACAAATGGCTTTATCAGTTTCAATAATTACGACTGATAAAGCCATTCGTGACGAAACATTTCATTTAATAATTGTACTGAACCGTATATGAATGTCCTTTTCGATATAGTTATGTTTCGGCAGGTGGTAGAGGAACACAAGCTCCAGAAACTGGCCAAGGAGCTGAACCTTTCCGAGACAGCGTATGTGAAACCCTTAGTCAGCACTGCTGAAGATCCCTGGGTACACTGCTCCAGGTTCACCCTCCGCTGGTTTACACCCACTACCGAGGTTCCTCTCTGTGGGCACGCTACCCTCGCCACTGCCCACGTACTCTTCCACTCTTTAGGTTGGTTAATTGGGGGTTTAAGGCATATCGACTATGCTTAGAACATTAAAATTGGTATTAAGGTAAACTTTCATGACTGGCTTAAAAGAAGACCTAGTGACGTGTGTTTCAGTATTTCTCAGTGTAAAACACAAATCTAGATTAAAAATGAGCAACATTTGGGAATCTTTATTGTGGACACGTTTCGCCAGCCAGTGGCTTCTTCAGTCCAATATAGAGAAAAACCGTGGAAAATGAATTTGAGTTAATCAATCCCTCAGCCTGGAGTCGATTGTGTTTCTCAAGACTGATGGACTGATCACGTCGACACCAGGCTGAGGGACTCATTACCTCAAACTCATCTTCCGCCGTTCTTCTCTGTATTGGACTGAAGAAGCCAGTGGCTGGCGAAACGTTTCCTTAATTAAAGATTCCCAAACGTTGCACAAATATCTCAGTCTTCATACTCCAGATTATCTTGTATTCGTGTTTTAAATTCTCTCTGATTCTTCCCATCTTTGGCAGTGCCAAACACATCAGTGAAATAGATACCTGGTTGTTAGTGGACTGGTGTGGGTCACATCCTGGGACAAAATTGACCTAATTTGCGGGAAATGCTCTGCATAACAAAGGGTTTTCTATATATTAATATGTCATTAATGTCAGCTGTGGTCTGTATACCTTGTACATGTACTTGTAGAAATAAAGATTATTCACAGGAGGTGAAAACTTAGCATATACAGTATGTTGCTATGATGTCGGTCTGGTTTAAAAGTACATTGTGTCTTAGTATATGTACTCACTTAATTGTATATGTGTGTGTGTGTATGTATGGTGTAGGTATTTAACATAGATGCTACTCTATAGCATTTTTGTTTATGAGTGCAAGTTTGAGTGAATGTGCGTTTACAAGTCAAAACAATATATAGGATAAGCCTATTATTTACAGGAAACACGAGTCACCAGCTGGAGTT